ATTCCTACTCTATATAAATGACCTGCCCAACGCTATGCAACATTGCACGCAATATCTATTTGCAGATGATGTCACCCTCCTACTGGCTTACAAACCTGAAGACACCCTCGCCAGTAGAGCGAACATGCAGTCTGATCTCGATGCATGTCAAACATGGGGCAGGAACAATGGAGGTGAATTCTCAGCAAGCAAGACATCCGTGCTGTGCCATAGAGCTATCAATGATACACCTACTGCAGGAATCCAATACCAAATGTACAATGAGCCATTAACGGTGGTTTCTGAACTGCAACATCTTGGCATCACCTTGACCGACAACCTGGATTTCCGCAAACATGTCGCCTCAATAACTTCGAAGTTCAGATATCGAGTGCACCTACTGTCAATTATGTCCCAGCAACTTACGCCTTCGGCAATGATCATACTGTACAAAGGGTTCGTAAGACCTGTGATCGAATATAGCTGTACGGTGTGGTCGTTTGGATCTAATAAGAAACCCATGACCACTCTTGATCAATTACAGGCAAGGTTTGCTAGAGCTCTACTGAAAAGAAAAAAATTGCATTTGATTACACTTCTTCCAAATCTGTCTTAAATTCTAAATGCTCCCTAGAGTCACTAGCCTATCGTCGTCAAATCATCAGTCTCACTACTTTTCACAGATATGTTTTCCATCATCGTGATTACCTTGCTGATTTCCATTTCAAGATTACGAATAGTGAGCGACGACCAAATAAAATCATTCTTCCCTAATTTAAATCATTGTCTAAGTCTCTCTTCATGTTCCGAACTGCTATTCTATGGAACTGTTTACCCCCCCAGTCTAACATCGGAAGCCTCGCTCTATAAGTTCAAAGCTGCCCTCAGGAAATTTACAGCTGACTATGCTTATGCAATCAACGGAATTCCGCCACCTTGCAGTTGATTTTCCCCATTTCTCTCCTCATCAATCCCTACTTCTCTTTGTACATACATCTACATCTACTGTTCTTTCAATCAAATGAACCCCTCGATAGGCACGTTGCCTTTGGGTCATTTCACAATAATAATAATAATAATAATAATTTGTAAGAAAGGTTTGCTCCCCACACCGGAGCTCGCGCTATTCCGCCGACTTTACTTGACACTTGACTGACTCACGACTGCCATCCAGAGCACACGAGAAGTCCATCGAACCTTCGACTCGGCAAACCTGCAAGAAAGCACCACTCCCTGCTCAATACACAGTGTTTCGGGGAATTCACCCCTCATCAGTTGAGCTTGAGTAGGCTGAGGAAGATTGTGCCTGAAGAGCACCACTTATATAGTGCACTCCAGGCACAAACATCACCAGGGATACAAACTTACAGAGACGCTCCGCTTCCAGCGCGATAAACACCTCGTGAACACCAGATAGCAGCGTGAGTCAGTGTCGCTCCTGGACGGTGAGACAGACGTCGAGGACCCTCGGTCATTCGCAACGCTGTCACCTCCAAACCAACTAGTCGCAAGCCCGCGCTGGGCACAACAGTACGAAGTAGTGGTTGCGACTTCGGCGATGATTTGTAAGAAAGGTTTGCTCCCCACACCGGAGCTCGCGCTATTCCGCCGACTTTACTTGACACTTGACTGACTCACGACTGCCATCCAGAGCACACGAGAAGTCCATCGAACCTTCGACTCGGCAAACCTGCAAGAAAGCACCACTCCCTGCTCAATACACAGTGTTTCGGGGAATTCACCCCTCATCAGTTGAGCTTGAGTAGGCTGAGGAAGATTGTGCCTGAAGAGCACCACTTATATAGTGCACTCCAGGCACAAACATCACCAGGGATACAAACTTACAGAGACGCTCCGCTTCCAGCGCGATAAACACCTCGTGAACACCAGATAGCAGCGTGAGTCAGTGTCGCTCCTGGACGGCGGAATAGCGCGAGCTCCGGTGTGGGGAGCAAACCTTTCTTACAAATCATCGCCGAAGTCGCAACCACTACTTAATAATAATAATAATAATAATAGCCACTTCTAGGCTAAGCCTTCACCGTCATTTTATTGGGTCGTCATCCCGTTTGAATGTGCGAAGTGAAATAAAAACCAACCAACCAACCAAGTTACCACAACATGTTCCAGATGTTGGTCATTTGATGCTACATGAGGCAGGTTGTCTCCGGTCAAACATCTCTAGCTTAAGATTTGTGTGTAGCTCTCCACCCCTAGGCCTGAAAGTTATCCAACGGGCCTTTTGTTTCCATCAATTATTTTTCCGAGGTGGGAGGGGGGGGGGGCAGACTTTTTTCAAGAGCCTCTTCGTTGGTATTGTACGGTTAGGAGACCACACCGAGAGCGAAAACCCTGAATTACATGATATAATGGTGCAGGATGAGAAAGAATACTTCTTTTCTCACTCACATGCTTCTGCCACACACACACACACACACACACACACACACACACACACACACACACACACACACACACACACACACACACACACGCACCTCAGACCTCAGATCTCAGACTTGCCCATCGCGGAAGCGATGATAGCGAACAGCTATGTTAGACATAGCAACTTGTGCTGGGATTACACCATTCAACAGCTTGCAAGGCTGATGAACACACACACACACACACACACACACACACACACACACACACACACACACACACCCCACCAGCTAACAAACAACTGCAGGGACAGCCACAGCAAGAAAACAAAGAATAGAACATGAAGTGATATTTGACCTGCTTGAGTGACTTGAGTGATATAAGTTGTGACACTCCTGCAGCACACATTTCATTAGTCTACTGTAACTCGATCAAGCTGAGGTGATGAGGGATGAGGGATGGTAGTAGTAGTAGTAGTAGTAGTAGTAGAATTTATTATTTTACTAGGGAACTCCCAACAGGCGTTGCCTTTTTACTGGGAACCCTAGGAATGACTTGGTGCTTGTGACAAATGCAGAAAGGGGCTTAGCTTGACGACATCCAGGTGGAAGCATGTTCCATCTGTCTGCTGCCAAAAATGAAATAGCATTCAGGCCGTAACGAGACGTAGCTCTGGGTAGGTTCAGAGCGGCTGAAGCTTGACCGTGGGTAGCAGCATTTGTGCGGCATGATGCAGAGCGGGGGGTAAATATCGTGCTTAAAAGAGGACTGGTGCAACGAGATAGACACCTAAAAACAAACACAAACAGCTTCAAGTTTACACGGCGAGAGAAAGTATACAGGTTATATTTGGTGAGAATGAAATCGATAGAAGTATACTGATCATGGCCAAACACTCGCCTTAGGCACCTATTGCTGGTTGACTCAAGTTTGTCTCTGAGTTTAGCAGACAAGCAGTGAAGATGGATCCCAAAAACATTAGAAAGGTTAAGATGCACGTTATTTCTGACGTGACGCGAAAGTTCAGCTCGCGTTATTTGGCTCGCACGTCGAAAATCAACGCGAGTGACCTGCTGCTCACGTCGAAATTTGGAGTTTTACGCCAAATTTGACGTGAAATTGCGCGTCACGTCGGAAATAACGTGCATCTCTCTATTGTGTAGTGTGTCCCTCCAGGAAATCGCGATTCCACGGATGCAACAAATTTCGCGATTTTGGCCCAATCCCGCGATTTTCTGAAAAATCCGCGATTTCCCGCGTTTTTTGTTGTTTTCTGCACTTCTTTTTACATTTTGATGCACTTTTCACGCAGCATACACTGCTTTCCGGTACCCTGTACGTACATGTACATACCGCATGTAGGTTATTTGCACAGCACACAAATAGCGATTCTAAGGATGCAACAAATTTCGTGATTTGGCCCAAATCTGGAATTTTCTGCCAATAATTCCGCGAGCTCCTGGCAAGTTCCGCACTTTTCGCCGCATTTTTTTGTTGTTTTCTGCCGCAATTGATTGCGTCCGTTTTCGAGAATTTGTCCGCAAATTCCCACAGGGATAGTGTATTGAGCAGGAGTGGTGGTTTTTGCCGGTTTACCGATTGCAAGGTTCGACATGCTTCTCGTGTGCTTCGGACGGCAGTCCTCAGTAAGTCAAGTGTCGGCAGCGCGAGTTCCAACCTGAGGAGCAGCCATCTTTTTTTTCGGATATTACCGGTATACCGCCGACGTCGCAATATCCTAGTTTCGCAGGTATGGCCGAGCAGTTTAGGAAGCCTAGCGTATGAGCTGCAAAGCGCATGGCATGGTTTTCTGTGATAGCCGCCTTCCATTAATGCATTGCGCTGCTGTATTCCGTCCAGAGATCGAGATGCATGGATGTATCGAAGCTGTGGCGAGTTTTAATGGACTCGTCGACGTATCCATACTTGAGTCTTCAATAAACATAATTATATGTACGACTCGTACCCGTATTGCATTAGTATAGTGTTCCTTCTTCGAGAGCAGGTCACGACTGATTTTCGTTCCTTCGTGTGCTAGCGGACCCCTGCGTGGTTTGCGTTTTGATGAGCCAGCGATTGCGGTTCGGTCGATCGGGTCGAGGTGTGAAGATCTACGGACGTCTGTTCGAGCCGAATCTGCCGGCGCACTGACTGCTGTTCGCGCAGTCTAGAATCTTCTGAGTAGATCTACGTCTAGTGCTACTAGTTTGAGTGTCCGTAGGCTAGGCTGCATCTAATGCTAGCAGACGAGCAATTACTTCCCAACCAGGTGATTGTCGTTGTCTGGTGGAATTCTCTAGCTCTGTACAGAAGTCACCGTGCCACGTGCTAACTACGTGTCAGTAGCTGATTGGCCCATTTCAAAGTTCACACCAGACCGCGATGTCCTTCGCCATGCATTAGCGAGTGCTTTACACGATGAAGCGGTTGTATTGTTACTGGTACAGTGGTAGACCACGCGGCTAGCACTGCTAGACTGCAACGGGCAAGGGCCGTTGGACGGCTTCCGAGAATCGTATGGTGTGAGGTCAAAGTTCACGCTCGAAGAATGCTAGCAGCTGCATCCGCTCGCCAGCGAGGCCGGGTTGAATCAACTAACTAATATTACTTTTTCCTTGTAGATCAAGAACATGCTTCATTCTTCGTTGTTGTTTGGAAGGAAGGACGTGATGTCCTTCTTCTCCGTTTGCTTTCTTTGAGGCAAATCCGAGACACTGTAAAGCCGGCCAGCATTTGATAGGTGTATACAGAGCAAAGATAAGATGTAGTCGAGAGACTTATTTCTGAAGGATTCCGACTATCGTGTGCAGGTTTCTCAACTGGAGCGCCACGGGAAGCGAAGAAGGTACATTTTGGCCTTCATCTCTTTCACCACGTGTTGTGTATTCCTCGCCAACCTTCTTTACGCTTTATAGGAACACTCCTGCCCGCATAACAACATGTGGCGTCTTCGTGTGGGTCCGCTGTAAAAATAAAACACTGTCCTGTGATGATTCAGCGTTGTCTTCTGTTGTCTTTCTCTTTTTCTTTGCAGCCAAGGAGTGTATCAAGAGGCTTGATGCGCATGCGCGGTGTGACGGCGGCAAACTTCTGGCTGCATCTTTTTACATTTCCCAAGAGGTAAGAATTTCCTTTGTTGACTATCCCTCTTATGTCGTAAGGGGATTCTGGTGTCCTAGTTGACCACCTTATTGAATCGTGAATAGGATGCATCTCCACTTTCTCCCTCACTCTTGCCAACTAGCAGTTCAACAAGCACACGATTATCTACTAACAAGCGTTATTTCTGTTGTTTTGTAGGAAAACATGTTGCTGTGTACCGCTAGCTATTGCGGACACTGGGATTGCCCTGCGGGTGCGCCACTCATATCACCTTGTCGGTCACAAACAACTGCTACGCTGTCGTACCGTCCGGATGTTTTGCGGCCAGAACCTTTGGAACTCAAGGTATCCGTCGCTGGAAGGGGTGCTCTCCTTTCGTTCAGGTACAGTACCCATGTTGGATCAGTTTTACTACAATGCCTTTGTTCGTGTTTTCACTGCTCCTTCCTAGCTGCATTTTGCGTTTCTGGCATCGACGCCAAATAGGATCTGGGTCATGAAGCTGTAGCTTTATGAGTTTCCACTCAAGCCTATCTATTTCCATTTGGGAAGACAGCACAGGATGTGCGCTCTTACAACTCCTTTCGCACTGCTGGTATTGCCTCTCATAAAAAAGAGATTTGTTCGACTATATCGTGGCGCTGTTTCAGAAACCTAGCGACGGTTTGTTGCTCCACCTTGGGACCTATCTGTCCATACAGCTTATGCATGTGTTGTGTGTGTGTGTGAGGGGGGGGGGGGGGGGGGGTATGATTCCTTCTGCTATTGCTTGGTGTTTATGGTTCAGTATCTCCTGTCGTGGTCCTGGAAATCCGGTCGAATGACTAGGGCCGGCGCCCTCAGTGTGTACAGAACGTTGCATGCAGTGCATAATTATGTTGTTCGTATGCGTACTCACGGCTTCATGGCCAGCGCCCTGGGGCCGCTTGACCCACGACCGGATTTCCAGGTGCATGCCAGTAGTTAGGATAATGACATAGATCAACCGAAATCAGGAGCCTGTAAAATGTGCTAAATGTTTGCTTTTTTATCATTTTATTTCTTTTATCTGCTTTTCATGATTTTCCAATAATCACCACTAAACTGACTAATTTCTAAACCTAATATCGAGAGTACCTTTACTGTAATGTTGATGGATACTCCACTGAACAGTAATATCCTTATCTAAAAGCTAATTCTTTTATAAACCGAGCTAATAAGTTTAGAATGCTGCTGATCTTCGGCAGAAACATAACCTGAACCTAAAACTACAATATACGCCAAACAGTGAAGTAAATGCTGCTGATTTCCAGCAGATAGATTCGCTGGAGCTGACCTAATCCATATTAAATTTTGTTGCTAAAACTGCTATTCGAACTAACCATACAGTTAAATACTGCTGAAGTTAAAGGGGAAGTTAAGGCAAAAATTAAAATTTCACCAGTTGTAGTCTTCGGGGTGCTGAGTTGAATGGTCGTGGTCCGAGGAAGCTGAGACGCTCCCTTCCTACTTGAATACCAATCGAACTCGCGCACTTCCACCGAAACTGGGTGACTGCGCCCTACTAGATGGGGATTTGTATGCAAAATGTCACTAAAAGCGCCATTTCGTTCTTATAAAAGCACGGATGACCGCGATTGGCCCATATGTTGTAGTCTTTTGGACGCTGAGTCGACTGGTTTTGGTCGGAAAAGGCTGCGATGCAGCGTTCCTCCTTTATTCCCAATCGAACATGGTTGAAGAAGCGGTCACGTGGTTCTGGGTGCCCAAATCACCTGGTCACCACGCCAGCAGGTGGCAACTTTCACACGAAGGTTGAACTCGAGTTCAACTCGAGTGACAGGACTGCACCCAAAAAAGGTCAAACAGGCTAGTAAGTTGTACCCTGCAGGCACGGTGACCAGGTGACTGGTGTACGCAGGAGCACGTGACCGCTTCTTCAACCATGTTCGATTGGGAATAAATGAGGAACGCTGCATCGCAGCCTTTTCGGACCAAAACCAGTCGACTCAGCGTCCAAAAGACTACAACATATGGGCCAATCGCGGTCATCCGTGCTTTTATAAGAACGAAAAGGCGCTTTTAGTGACATTTTGCATACAAATCCCCATCTAGTAGGGCGCAGTCACCCAGTTTCGGTGGAAGTGCGCGAGTTCGATTGGGATTCAAGTAGGAAGGGAGCGTCTCAGCTTCCTCGGACCACGACCATTCGACTCAGCACCCCGAAGACTACAACTGGTGAAATTTTAATTTTTGCCTTAACTTCCCCTTTAATAAGAACTACCGTAGTTACGCGCATATAAGCCCATGGGCCTATATCCGCATATAAGCCCACCTCCGTTTATAGGCCCATGGGCTAATAAACAGACCCAGACACCGTAGTACAGCATGTCAGTGCAGACTACATTACCAGCACCGGTACCTACAGTAGGCGGACAACCGCGCATGGACTTGTACTTTTTGACGTGCCAGCTGCCTTCAAAATTCGAATATAGGCCCAGGGCTAAAAAACGAACCATTATTACTGATTTTTTCCCCCGGAAAATGCATTATTTCGTATATTAGCCCATGGGCTTATATGCGCGGAACTACGGTATGGCTAAAATTCCAATCAGAACTAATTGATTAACATAGGAATACTCATAAGAAGGAGGGAAACTTGGTAACTGCATGAGCTGTATGGGCGATAACTCCATGGCAATATAAGTTTTCACCATCTTCTGAGAAGGTTGTGAATCCTGGCTTCAAAGCAACAAATAGTGCAACGAAATTCTGCCAATTCAATGTTCGCCATGATCCATTGTGGTTGCGACATCCTGTGCTAGCTCTCTTATGTACTTTCCCTGTAGTTCACGTACTTTTGTGGATGATCTATTAGTTGCAGATGTCCTTTTCAGCTGGATGAGTGTAATGCTTGTTTGGTATCACAGAATCCTAATGTTCTGCATTTCTCTCTTTGTTCCCTTCCAATGACCACATGGGCATGGGAGAGTGTATTCCAGGATGCAGGACTGCAATGACACGCTCTCTCACTGGCGGCCGTGTTTGTGAGCCATCTGTCACTCAGTGTGCACAGGTAGGCAGCTTCGTGGTGTATATGTGTTGAGTTCGAAACAGGACGACTGACGACATATCCAGACATTACAACGGGAACAGGTAGGTTGGGGGAACGACATTTATTATAGACGACGAGACAAGAGACCAAGACGAACGAAACGACTACATTGTGATTATTGACGAGTGAGGAAAGAGAGAGAGAGATCAAGTCTGAACGGCAAGATAAAGGGCCTGGGTAGCTATGGCAAATATGGGCGCGCAAGTAGCTACCCAGGCCAACGGAGCAAAAGGAGACAAAAGGTGCGTACGCAAGTGCATGCAGGCCAGCTAGAAAAGGTACGGGAGGGGGTACCTAACATATGTGTTAGACTCGGTAGGCAGTCGGGAGTCAGGTATGCAGTCTAAATCCTGAAACAGTCGGACGGTATGCCCCTACAGCATCTATAGATAGTGTAGTTGTATTCCCGGTAGGCAGTCACTGTCCTACCCAATATTGTAGACAGCAAGCTGTTTCAGCCATAAAGGCCCCATCAGTATAGATAGTGTAGTTGGATCCCCAGTATGCAGTCACTGTCCTACCCAATGTTGTAGACAGCAAGCTGTTTCGGCCATATAAGCTATCTTCTTTTTTCATTGCTTTTGCTGCGTGTTTGTGGCCGTGACGCCGAGACCTCAGGTCGCCAGAGTCATCGATGCCCCACCATCACTGCTGCGTCTCGGTGCAGCGCCTGCTCATTAGTTGTCACGTTTATCCTAGTCTCTGTACCATTGTCTTTACTTATCCTTTTCGAGCTGGTTATGTGAACATAGTAAAAAAAGAATATAGAAAAAAGCCCCATCAGTACAGCTATGAGCTTTAAAATTATTATTATTATTATAAGCACTATCGCGATGTAAGCGGGGATGCCTACTTCACTTGTGCCATCCAGGATGATGATAAAGAGAAAGACAAACAGAAAGCTCAGAATCTTGAAGAACAATGCTGTAGAGCACAATAGCTGTGATCGATAGGATGTGCTACAGAATGGTGAAAATTACTAGTTCATTGATATAATAGCTGGCGAGCCAAGACAGAAAAGGCTGGTGCACCCTGAAGGCAACTTGCTAGAACCAAACTGTTCAAACCACTCCAGACCGATTATTCAGAAATGAGCTTTAAAAGCAAAGATTAAAATCAAATTTTCACCAGTTGTAGTCTTCGGGGTGCCGCCACTGCATTATGCTGGCGTGCTGGGCGGGAAGAGCCTCTGCCAGGTCAGTCGTCCATTTGCACGGTGCTTGTTGAGCCGGTCTTAAACCAGGTGTAGCGTTGGGCGTAGCGTTGCTGGTTGAATATATCCAGCTGAAGAAGAATTTGCAGGTGTTGAGCGAGTATACCCACTCACATACGTACCATTGGAACGCGTATAGCCACCGACACTTTAGTTCCATCAGACCGAGTATAGACATCCACATGTACAAAGTCTTCAACGCCTGTTGAACGTGATGGGTTAGGTGTTGATGTGGTAGCTGTGCTTGACGATTCGCGAGTGCCGCCTGCTGGAGAAGAGGACGAGGAACATAACGTTGCCGGTCTAATAATATTATATCCAGCTGAAGAAGAATCTGACGGCGCTGTACGAGTAGGCGCTGAACGAGTAGGCGCTGATTGAGTAGGCGCTGAACGAGTAGGCGCTGAACGAGTAGGCGCTGAACGAGTAGGCGCTGATTGAGTAGGCGCTGATTGAGTAGGCGCTGTACGAGTAGGCGCTGAACGAGTAGGCGCTGAACGAGTAGGCGCTGATTGAGTAGGCGCTGAACGAGTATGTCCACTGACATTTGTGGTCTTTGGAGGAGCCACACCACGAGCACTTCTTACTGTTGCTCGAGTCTCGTTGGGACTTGACCTGTGGTCGCTTTCCCGTCGATCCGTAACTTGCGTAAGCAGGGGACTTGCCGTGTTTCCGTTGCGGTGAGGTAGTTGGAGCAGCTTGGCTCACCCGGGGCGTTTGCTGGGCGACCTCGGCGTTTACGGACTCCGTTTTGCGTGCCAAGCTCACGGCAGTCTCGAGTGTCAGCTGAGTGTCATCCTCGAGCTGTAGCTTCTTCGAAACTTCTCGGTTCGTCATATGGGCCACTAACCTGTCGCGGATACGCTCATCAGACTTGTCAAACGCGCAGTATTTGGCTGCGGCACGGAGACGACGCACATACTCTTCCACGGATTCACCTGGGTTCTGGACACACCTTTCAAACAATGTCCGTTGGTGGATTACGTTTACACCCGGGCGAAAATACTTGTCAAAGGCCTCCAGTACCTTGTCGAGTTTCTTCTTATCATCCGCGGACAGAGATAGAGACTCAAAGATTGGATCGGCTTCGGCTCCCATGGAGTAAACTAATGTGTCTACTTGGCGTTGTCCGTCCGCCTCGTCCAATTTGGACAAAGAACTAAAGCGTTCAAAACGGGTCTTCCAGAGTGGCCATGCTTCTGGGGTGGAGAAATCGAACGGGGCAGGTACAGGAAATTTGGCAGACGACATGACTAACTGGTACTTCTGACACCATGTAATGTTCCTGAGTGAACATCAAGTTAGTTCCTGCACTCCATAGATCAACTTCACTCCACAAGTCCCAGACAACAACTAAAGTTTATTTACATAGAACAACAAAAGAAAAAGATGCACAACCAGGATCCATATATGTACAGAGTACGGGAATGCATATGGGTAACCGATCCTGGAACGGATCGGGTACAACAACGGGACCACAACAGTAGCCGCTGACATTCACAGAGCCTCCTCCTCCTTTGCTACGAGGCATGCCGCAATGGAACTGCAAGGTTTGACTCTGTGAGCCCTTCGACAAGGTTTGGAATATTGATGCTCACGGTGGCCGGTGTTTTTACTAGTGATTGATTGAATGTATTTACTTCGCTACTACTACTACTACTACTACTACTACTACTACTACTACTACTACTACTACTAGTGGCCACGGGTTGTCTTAGAACTACAGCATACTTGCACGTAACTTCGGCCCGGTCCCACATGCACTTGAGAGTTGCGGATCCGCTGCAGCGGTGTCGCAACAGCGTGTATCACCATGGAAACTGCGAGTAGCGGAACTTCCGCCGTGGCAGAAAGTTCAAATCCGCTACTCCAAAAATTTTTGGAGCGTATACTCTCCTGCGGAAGTTCCGCTCCTGCGACACTCTGACATAGTGAGCGATTTGTGTTGTTCGATTTTATTTTCGATCATGAAGTGGACAGTTTGACTTTAGTCAGAGCAGCTACGGCTACAGTTGTACATGTATGTTGAAGTCAAGACTCGTTTGGCCAAGGGATGAAGAGAGATACGGAGCGATAGGTGGATAGCCGAGAAGCTGAAACCGACGGCTGCGGCGTCGGCCAAAGACCAAATCCCGGACCTGTGAGCAGCCAAGCATGGCCATCATGTAAAACCACGCAGTCGGACCACTGTGATGTAGGTCTAGCAAGAGCGATACATGTACCACTATTACCAGTATCTGTAGCAGTTACCATTGCCATTGGTTATCGTCGACGTGCTGCTCAACAAGTTCGTACTAGTATTCAGCAACAAAATGTCGCTGCGGTCTCCATTGCCTGTCGACAACGTCTCGCCAATCGACCTCTACCCAACGGAAAATCCATTCTTTCAGATTACTAGTATAGTATACAGAACAAAGACTCAAAGTCAACAATACCGAACCCACGACATGTAGCTAATGCTTGATACTCAACAAAAACAACGACCTGTCCAACACCCAGTATCTACATCAACAGTACATCAGTGCTGCGTTGATGTGTCCACAAAGGACGAAACAGTTCTGTCCACAGACACAGTACTGACTGTACACCATCAGTACGTGCACGCGTACTTCGAAGTGAAAGCATGCTTGAGTTGCAGGAGAGCTGCACTGAATTTTTTGGAAGTCAGAGAGGCGCGCTCGCTTCGTTCGCCGTGCACGCGTGAGCATGTGAGACCACGCGAGCATTTTGTCGCAGGAGAGGTGCGACACCACTCCCGCAAGACCTTGTCGCACCAGCGGATCCGCCACTGCATGTGGGACCGGGCCCTTAGATGGGAATTTGTATGCATTTTCACTAACAATGCCATTTTGTTCTTATATAAAAGCAGATGACCGCGATAGACTCATATATTGTAGTCTTTTGGATGCTGAGTCGATTTGGTTTTGGTCCGAGAAGGCTGCAGTGCAGCGCTCGGCCCTTATTCCCAATCGAACATGATTGAATAATCCATGTGCTCATGCATACACCAGTCACCTGGTCGCTGTGCCTGCAGGGTACAACTTACAGCCTGTTTGGGCGCGTTCCTGTCACTCGAGCTCAACGTTGGTGTGAAAGTTTTAGTCTGCAGGCACGGTGACTAGGTTACTGGTGTACACATGAGCACATGTTCGATTTGGAATGAGGGCCGAACGCTGCATCGCGGACTTGAAGCAGAAGTTAAAATCGAGAAGTTGAAATCATAAACTCGGATGGAGAGCCAAGGGTTAAAATTTAAAAAAAGAGGACCAAAAGTTTACAAGTTATCCGTTTTGTCCAACACTAACGGTTATAAGTAGAATACTGTTGAGTCAAAAATGTGCAACAATTAGCACAAAACTGACCGATTAGATCATGACATTCAACCACCTGATGAGCTGCATCACGTCTAGAATGCGCAAACCAGCAGCCTTCCAACTTGGAAGGTTCTACACTGGTGCTACACCATTTTATAAACTTGTATTTGTACCAAAGGTCTAGCGCCACACGAATTTCTTTCCTTGCCCAGAGCTAGCTGGCCCCCAAACCCTGTCAAGTTCTACCAAAATGTCTACTGACTAGGTGGTGGTGGTGGTATCATTTTCATTAGCTTCAGTTCAGCGAGCGAAAGACTCCAACGCAGCAAACTGTTCTCCTTGTGTCCTTGTGGCTACTTCCTCTGTTAAAAAAAACTTTGTGATGGATTTTTGAGGGACTGGTTTTGCGCACAAACTGCCATAAATTGAGTCGAAATCACTTTCTCGGCCTTCCCTGGCATGCCATGAAAGAGATGCGATGCAAGGAAAGCGACCTTTCACAACAAGCCGAGCGGAATCGATGGTTGCGCTGTGGCAACAAAGGTGATGACAGCCATGGCGAGCCAAACTGATATTCCACTTCTCCGAGGGCATTATGCGCTGCTTGGCCTCTCTAGTACTGAGTTTGAGAGTGATAGAGAGCGATAGAACGGAGCAGCAAGCCCACATAGTGAGCAAGTTCTGAGCTGCTCAGATCCCACAAACACAATGAAATGATTCTGAATTCAAGCTCAACCGGCACAGAGCCCAGATTCGAATGCTGATGACCATGCATTCTTTAGAAGTCTGCAGTCCGACGTGAGTCTCGTGGCTAAGGAGAATTGAAGGGACTTGCAAGCCGGTGCCGTTCAGTGCTGGCAGGAGTATCCATCAGAGAAAATGGAATCAGTTTGGCTGTGCCTTTACTCATTTTGTGTAGTTCTGGAGAGTGGAGGTGAAACCAGGAAGTCGTAAAATATTTTGAGGACGCCCTGGTGGAAACGAGTTATTGCCACAGCGGCGAACCACGCAGCTTGAATGCCAGCTAACTAGAACGACGGCGACATCACCAAAGTTCAGCGAAGTGTGATCAAAGAAGCTGAAGCAAGGCTGAAAAGAGCTGAACAAGAACTGAGAGATGACGACTCGCGTGCAGCAGATGACGACGGCGACGCAGGGTCAAAAATGAGTCAAGCGAAAGCAACGCAAACTGAACTTTCTGCTTCGCCAACAATTTCTCTTGTACAGACGCTGTACATAGGCTGAACTACCTTCATCCAGTGATTTACAGTCGATACTAACTTTTCTTCACCTGTTCTAAGCGTTTTCATATCCATCAAAATCCATCACGAAGTTTTTGTTAACGGAGGAAGTAGTTGAATTCTGAGACACAGTTAAAGCTATCCAGCGCAGTCCATGATTGCTGGATCAAGCGAACAGTTAATCTTTCCAAAAATCCAACTGACAAAAACATGGACTGCATACAGGAAACGTTTCCACTTTCTACAGGGAAAGTTCCGTAACTTCGACAGTGTCATAAAAAAATACTGCTAGGTCATGAGTTAGAATCCCTGCTGGACTTCAGCTGTTTATAGGACATCGATTGCCTGCTGATTCCAACATATTTTTGAACAGAAATGTTGAGTCCAGCGTGGATGTTATTGCACGAGGGATTCTCCTGTTGTTGTCCATCAACTCCTCATTTCCTTCTCTGGGGTTTCTCGTGCATTTGCGTTTTCACTCCAGCTATGCTCATCACCAGGTGGGTGCAGTAGACAGACGTGCAAGGATTTCCCACGGTAGGTCATTGATGATCGTCACTTATGCGCAACTTCACTATACCTGGATACCACTGATTCCTGTCAGATCATGCTCCTGACGGTACGTAGATGTCTGCTGTGCAGTTTTCTGCTGGTGTGATGGTTTTAGTGCATGTGTTGGTGATTATGTCGAACAGCACTGGTAGGCCATTATTACCTTGTTCACAAATCTAACTTCCTGCCCCCACAGATTGTCTGCATTCTACAGCTGTAGTCTTTTCATGTTTTTGGTGACCAAAATTATCAATGGGAAAGGGGAAGCCTAAAATCAAATTTTCACCAGTTGTAGTCTTCGGGGTGCTGAGTCGAATGGTCTTGGTCCGAGGAAGCTGAGACGCTCCATTCCTCCTTTATTCCCGATCAAACTCACGCACTCTCACCGAAACTGGGTGACTGCACCCTACTAGATGGGGATTTGTATGCAAATGGTCACTAAAAGCGCTATGTCGTTCTTATAAAAGCACGGATGACCGCGATTGGCCCATATGTTGTAGTCTTTTGGACGCTGAGCCGACTGGTTTTCGTCCAAGAATGCTGCGTTCATTGCAGCAGCGTTCCTCCTTTATTCCCAATCGAACATGGTTGAACAAGCGGTCACGTGCTCCTGCGTACACCAGTCACCTGGTCACCGTGCCAGCCTACCGCCTGCAAGGTACAACTTACAGCCTGTTTGACCTTTTTGGGCGCACTCCTGTCACTGGAGTTGAACTCGAGTTTTAAAAAAAAGCCGAAGCCTAAATCAAGGGGGTCTCCGAGAACAAATATACGTGTACAATAGGGTGCAATTCTTAAAAGGAAGAAAAATATTAAGATAAAAAAGAGTTGAACCTTAGTGTGAAAGTTGTCGCTTGCTGGCCCGTTGACCAGGTGACTTGGGGCCTTGCCTCATGAGTTTGAATCCACTGGTTGTCATGCTAACTGTGCACCTGCTGCTGTCGCGATACTCTGTTGCGCGTGATCTTCACTGTGATGCACATAGCATCCAAGCTGCGACTGCAATACTCATTCTGAATATAGTTTTCACGTGCTCCTAGCTGCCATTGGGAGTTGCACTTGGGTGTGGGGCAAGTCTGCAAAAACCCCTCCCCCTCCCATGGCTCTCCTATTCAAAGACCTTGGAATGCAACCCTGCTGTGTTTGCCAATACGCTTTTGGTCTACGCTGGCTTTAGGTATAACATGTCTGATTCTTATGTGTCAACTTGTAGATTGTCTCTTGAGGCCCTCTGGAGTGCTCCACAGTCACCAGTGGTGTGTACTGTCCAATCGAGGAGTCGCTGGAATGGATTCTTGCTAAGTACTCCCACTCTTGTGTGCAGTACCCCATATACACCACCCCTGTCTACATCTCTTCTCCACTGTTCATGGCTCTACTTAGGACAGATCATGCAAGAAATATTTGCAGCAATTGTACCATCTTGGACTGCCAAAGGGGGAGAAGGTTGGACCTATCAATCAATAATTCAGCTTACAACGATACAAAGTTCAAGGTTATTATGGCCTAGATAACTAGTCGAGGTAGACCTACTTTGTGAACCCTGTAAGTCAAATCAATAGCAGCTATGGACTACATAATGGGAAATTTCAACCTTCCATGCCATTTTTGTTTACACCTTCTCCCTATAAATGTGTGAGTTTTTTTGACGGGTGGTTTCTCTTAGCTGCCAGCCACGTAATGGATGGTTCCTTGTACGGTGTGTGTGTGGGAGGGGGGGGGGGGTGAGCTATGGTGAGCTACGTTCTGTGTTATGTGTGTGTGATATTCCAGGTCAACATGTCAAGTTTCCCCATCCTTCACCGTCCTCCAAAAGGGAGCAGTACATTGTGGCAATCTACGGTTGCAGCAGTGTTTTGCCAAAATAATGACAGGTGTTCCGTTCCATCCTGGGCTTGGAGGGATACTAGGCAGGGCAGGGCAGGGGGGGGGGGAAATGAGATCTGCTGGTGATTCCATGACAATTCCGGTTTCTGGTCTAAACAGGCTGGAAACAAAACAAATATTGCACAGATGTGTGCAAAATACTTGTGAAAACGTTGCTTGAGGTCCATGGCTATGATGTTTTCGTCACAGCAATGGGTTGTGAACAAAACAAATCTGATGTCTAAGGTGCAGACAGCGATTTTGAACAGTACAGTTGGTATTCAAAAGTTGCATACTAGAGCGATTTGTGAATGGCAGACAGGAATTGAACATAACCACCAAAGATTAAATGTTCCATCTCCATGTTGTATAATTATAAGGAATGCACCGTAAGTAAATAACATTTGTGCGCATGATATTGAGTTTGCTTGATACTCTGCTAATGGTTTCCCATCCTTGCATTGAACAGAACAATCCCTGATTAAAGTTGTACCTGCATGGCTGCTTTTCACTCCAAACAGATGCCATCACACTGCCGAACATTGCAGTGCTACTACATAGTTCCTGGCTTGGACTGAAGAAGCAGCCAGATGATGCGGAACAGTAACATCAACCCATTACACTCCCATAAATTTCCATCACCAATCACCACATTCTACTTGGTCTATCCTAGCATTTCATTTATTCACTTCTAAACTTTGATCTGATATATTTGATGCGTGTATTTGTTTTAAAACTTTTATCTCTATGCATGGGGAGTGTTGTCCCTGGTGCATGCTGGGTTGGCCATTAGTGCAGTGGGAGGATTTGGTCCTTGGTGCATGCAATAGGTTGGGCCCTGGGTTAGTTAGGTACAGATCAGGGACAGGTAAACCCTGTAGGTCATCTCTTCAACATCCAACACTACGCTATGACCAGATCAAGGCGCGGTGGGCCCACCTCCATTGTATTAGGCTTGGACTGAAGAAGCAGCCAGATGATGCGGAACAGTAACATCAACCCATTACACTCCCATAAATTTCCATCACCAATCACCACATTCTACTTGGTCTATCCTAGCATTTCATTTATTCACTTCTAAACTTTGATCTGATATATTTGATGCGTGTATTTGTTTTAAAACTTTTATCTCTATGCATGGGGAGTGTTGTCCCTGGTGCATGCTGGGTTGGCCATTAGTGCAGTGGGAGGATTTGGTCCTTGGTGTATGCAATAGGTTGGGCCCTGGGTTAGTTAGGTACAGATCAGGGACAGGTAAACCCTGTAGGTCATCTCTTCAACATCCAACACTACGCTACGACCAGATCAAGGCGCGGTGGGCCCACCTCCATTGTATTTGGTAACTATGTCGTTCTGTTTTGTACCCGGTGTATTGTACCACACCATGTTGTGTTTGTAACCTTGTTTCCTTTCTTTGCATGGGCTGGAACCTCTTGTGTGCAATGGGTTGGTCCCTGGTGCATGTGGGTGGGTTCACCTTGGGTACAAGGGAGATTTGGCCCTTGGTGCATGCAATTCTTGGGCCCTGGGTTAATTAGGTATAGATCAGGGTCAGGTAAACCCTGTAGGTCTTCCACCTTCAACATCCAGCACTACAACCAGCTCAAAGCACGGGCCCACCATCATTGTCTTTGGTAACTTTGTCGTTCTGTTTTGTACCCGGTGTATTGTACCACATCATGTTGTGTTTGTAACCTTGTTTCCCTTCTTGCATGGGCTGGAACCTCTTGTGTGCAATGGGTTGGTCCCTGGTGCATGTGGGTGGGTACACGTTGGGAGGTTTTGTCCTGGATGCATGCAATGGGTTGGCCCTGGGTTAGTTAAGTATAGATCGGGGTCAGGTAAACCCTGTAGGCCATCTCTTCAACATCCAGCGGTGCGCTACATCCTGCTCAAGGGTCTTCCGTTACTGCCGTCTTTGGGAAATAAATCCTGGTATGTATACTAATTATGCATGTCATCAAAGTGCAGGGTGCAAATCACCCATTTTTCTTCCCTATTTTTAAGGGGTTTGGTTAAATGCAAGCCAGTCCAAATTGATTAACGTGCAATACTTTTTCTTTCAACTAGGCTGAAGAGTTTTGGGGAATGTGCTCAACATGGGTGGTTGGTGGGGAGGTGAGATAAGCAAACAGCAAAAAAGCTGCAATTGGCATTGTTTATATCATGTCTTCAGCAGCTTGCTTGTGTTGGGTGCCTTCTCTTGACCTGTGCATGATGACTGTAAATTTAGTACATTGCTATTGCATGTTTCAGTGAACCTGCTAAGTCTAGGGAATTCCATGCAGCAGTGGCCATCTTAGGCCGTTGTTGCATGGGCTTGTGCTGCTAAGCGATTGTCTCATGTTTTGCTCACAACTTCCCAGGTAGGTGGTAATGGATCCATGCCGAATCTCACCCAAGATTTCTAAACCTGGCAGCATATTGCCAGATGGTAATGTATACCTTGAAAACAGGTGCGTCAGAATTGCATGTGTTGTGTGCATGTTGATCCCCTGTGCATGAGATGTATTTGCAATTAGCAGATATAAATGCATTTGCTTGCTTGAATCTGAATGACCGAGTTTTTGGGAATGTGCTCAATATAGGTAAGTGGTGGGGAGATGAGATAAGCAAACAGCAAAAAAAGCTGCAATTGGCATTGTTTATATCATGTCTCCAGATGCTTGCTTGTATTGGGTGCCTTCCTGCCTGCTCTAGTTACTTGGCAATTACAGATTTTTGTTGCCTATTTCTATCCTGCTCACAATCCTTCAAAAACATCAATGTACTGCATGTGTCTGAAAGTCTCCCCTTCTCAAAATGCTGCCGTGAGTCTGATGGTTGTGGCCACGTGTGATTCCACCCATGCATAAGGGACGTCAGCGTCAACAGCAATGCCGTCAACACCGTCACTGCTAGGCACACACACCCCTGCTATCAACACCATCAGTTTCGCTAACGCCAGGGATGGGGGCAGCGGACACAAGCCCCATCCCAACTAACTACAAGGTAAATATCACATGGTGTTGTGTGCCAGCAATTTATTACGTAGAGACTTTTGGCATTAATAGTATGGAGGATAAGTAAGACGAAAATTGCGGTCGCAAACATTTTTCAGTTCGCGAACTGGATAGCGAACTTTCGCATTTTTCGTTCGGAAAAGTAGTCGGCGATTCATGTCAGGGCGGTCATAAATTTACCACGCTGTACTGTCTGCACACAATGTACGTCATGTTAACGTCATGCATGTGCGAATTCTGTTTGCTAATCCTTCTCATAACGTGAATTCCGTCACTGAGTTCGACTTTCCTTGGAGAGCGAATGCGAACGCAAATTTCGTCTTGCTAATCCTCCGTAGCCTTACAATGAGATCGCCATTAGTTCGTTCTCATTATATTCCAAGGCGTTTATTACACATGGCCGCAGACGTCGGTGAACTGAAAGTCATGCAATGCTTTGAAATATAGAGTGATACCCTTTGCTGTGGATAGAAACCTAGCAGTAGTGATACAGTCGATATCTCCACTAGCCAAAGAGGGTGTACATAAAATTTCAAAACAGTCCTTCCTCGTCAATCCAGCTACCTATTGTCCGTTAACCCCGGTGAAATATTCCGCCCTGCACAGGTGCAACAAGTACTGTCCATTCTGAACATGTACCAGTGCAAAACGCATTGTTTATAGAAACACTGACTCATTTGCTTTTCCACGCGTGCGCTTGGAAAGAGTTTGACAGAAATGAGACACAACTTTATTGCGGGATATATTTACGGCACAGTCGACTCCGCTTATAATGAACTCGAATACTGTAAAAGCCATAATAACGAAGTGCTAACTCTAACGAGTTAACGAGGAGAAATCTGTCGTTAAAATAGAAATCGTTACACAGAAATCGATACATATACCGTCCTATTGACCGTTGGGAATGAGTGAGAATCGTTACTTTGGGTACACGTAAACTAGTCAATTTGGGGAAATGGTTATATATGCGCCTCGTTAGAATAATGGCTTTTACAGTATAGGGAATTTCGTGATATAGCGAAACATAGTTCATGTCCATGTTTAAACCCATACAAAACTAACCCTTTATAGCGAACAGGTTTCATTTATAACGAACATTAACTTGTAGGGTCGCACGTTAGCCAAGTGCACTCAGACTGCCATGGGCCACACATGTCACTTAGAGAACTTTGGCTTACATGTATATGGGACTAATTACCTTGCACAATGGTATTTGTTATATTTGGAGTCGACTGTTATAATTATACGTGTGCAACCTTGACAGTGTATGCAATTGTGCAGTTATGACATACGCCAAGTGTTATAGTGTCTTGATGCGAAACGCTGACATTGATACTTTCCATGTCAATGTAGATTTTCCCAGTACAGGAACAGTTGCATCTCCTCGGAATCAAGCACGTCATGGAATCACCAGCATCTCCATAGTTCACTCTAAAATGCATTCTGCAGTGATAGAGAAATGGCTCTATTTTGTGGCTTTTGCAGATATTTTTCACAATTTCCTTGCTCAATAGTGCCACTTGAGGAGCCATTTTTCGGATCTGTATTATGCAAAGCCCAGATGGAACGGAACACCTGTCACCCAGGGGAAAATGAATGTGGAAATGGGGAGGCAGATGGTCTAAAAAATATCAACAGAAAATTAAAAAAAACTTGTTCTCTGGCTTTAAAACACTAAAAACTGAAAATAGGGGTGAACCTATCGCCAAATTTTTCAGGATGGTCCACCATTTTATTTGTGACGTCACTGCATGCATTGAGATATACATTACACATTGTGATGCCCACCATGGATTTGAATACCTGCCACACTTTCAGAT